TAAGTCCACTAAACCACCTAATAAAACCTCATTGTTTTTGGAATCTCGATTACAAGTCATTAAACCACTTTCACCTATTCAAGCAATTCGGATAAGTTCATACACTACTTATACTGGAAATAAGTAACGTCGTCATTTTTACCGGAAAATATTCATTTGCATATTTATGCTTTGATCATGACCGAACTTAGTCAGCCTAGATTGCTGCGAGTGGTTTAAGGACTAGTATTCATGTTTTGACACGCAATAGAGTGAATAAACCACCCTATGCAAATATAATTCAGTTAGCCTTGCCATCCTGGCTGGACTAGAAACTGGCTGTCAAAACTCAATTATCCCTTCTTAATTTTTCGTATATAAGTTAATATTCGAGACTACTAGTAAATCAGCAATGTGAAATATACTCACCCTATCTTGCCCAAGGTCGAAACAGATGTTTTTTTTCGTAAATAAACTAGTATGTTATTCTTCAACGCTGACGCCTGTTCAAGTGTTGTGGACGCACTACTCATTTAGCCACTTTACTTCAAGAACCAGACCTAGTGGTTGGAAAATATTCTATTTTTAATCGGCAACTCTTCCTGCAACCTCTTCACCTCACAATTTCTATCCAATGGCCAGTTGTAGTTCGAGCCTAATTTCTTACACTCGTTCCTCCTATAAAGGATATAGTTTGTTACCATATTTCATTTAAGGTGATAAAGCTCCCCAAACTCTATGTATAAAGGAGATAAAATTAATGTGGTCGATTGATATGGTAAATATAATTTTACTTCTTTGACAATTCCACCGAAGAATGTGATATGGGAAAATAACTGTCCTTTCTTGAAATTCACATCTGCCCTGTAGTCAAAATTATAAGTTGCACTGTCGCGGTTCGAGTCCCGCTGGGGGTGTTGGTAGGACGAGTTCAAGTGAGGTCCAAACTGCAGTCCATTCGAGTCTGGATGAGAACACCTTTTCAGAATGCAATGCTGCGCCAAATTCAATGCAAGCTTCAGCTCTACTGATATGATTTTGTGAAAATGCAACTAGCAGTCCTTTATCAGGTTAAGCAAACTATGGTGAATACATCTCATATAACCGATTTACTGGTGGTCTCGAAGCTCTACTTATAGACGAGCTATTGTTTGTAGGCCAAATTTTATAGACTCACAACTCCGTCCAGACGTGAAGTCAACAGCTCCTGCAGTGCGATGTGTTTTATTATATTTTTTCTGATGTTCTGTAGTGTTTATTTGTTCAGCCATCTCCGATTTGTCAACATATAAACCTTTGGCGGCGGTTTTGCATTCCGATATCGAAAAGTCTCCCCCATATGTGCACAAAGCATAAAAACCGGATGTAAAGAGACTAAAATGTTAATCATTCTTTACACATGATCCTGAAGTTCCGTTCCCATAGTAATTCGTATGTCTCTGTCACAAATTGACAAGACGGTAACATAAGGAGCCTAAATGAAAAGTTGCCAAATTTCGTATCTTGCCCTAAATCCTTTTTGTCCCTCATCCTAGTTCGTAATATTGGAAAATAATTGTCAATTTATGCTAGAGGATAACATTTTTTCGACTAGCATTTTTCTTAGCTCTTCTAACTCTTAATCCCGGGGATTTGTAGCTGTTAAATACAGACTGCTTGGTCTCAGTGTTTTTATAATAGCAACGTTAGTCTAATAAATAGGATTAAAAAAGGAATTAACAAAAACCGCCTGTTTGTCAGTTTCCTGTACACATCCCTACCAAATTTTGTACCTTCTAGCCTAATCACTAAACAAAAGAATTCTTCTAAACCCTCTTTGCCATGTTTATAGATTACGGAATGAGGGTATAGATGACAAAGTAGTTCAGGTTGAATACATCTTATCCCTCCTTTAGTCATATTAAGCAACATAGACAAATTTCTTAATCACAAATTAATGTTAATTTCACACACTACTTATACAAAAATTAAGTAACTGTATTATTCTCACTGTAAAATAAGCATGGCGAAGAAACTAGAAGTGTTTTTCGAAGTATCCGAACCTTTAAGTGAGCCACGCAGATGTACGCTTAGGCTGGGAGACAACAAGCTTACTCACCTCTCCAGCCGGTATCGGCGTCGGTTGAGCCACACTTTCGTCTCCGGCCGGCGAGGCTAGAGCCTCCTTCGACGTAGTCACCGTCGCCATTCCGCCCACCCAGTCGAGGTGGCTGGCGTAGCCGTCGTTGGGTCCCATTCGAGCATCGACTGAGGCAAGAGAGTTGAAAAGCAGCCAAATCAGGCAAAATGCATGTGTGAAAGACTGATATTTACATGCAGACAGACCTATCTTACTTCCAGGATTATGGGAAACAAACTCCCCAAAAAGGTCTTTAATCCTTTTTTTCCTCTCTGCTCCTTCTCTCCGACCTTCGAAGCCGGGCCGCGTGGTCGAAATCGTCAGCGTCGTTCTTGGTCTCCCCAGAAATTGTAGAGGACAAACAAGAAAATGCAGCCCACACTTTTGCAGGACTCAGAAATGTACAATTTTGAGCTGCACGATGATGCAGAATCTATTCGATATGGAAACGTAGAGAAGTGTAACTAAGGGCCTTAGGGAAACACTGAATTCGAGGCTAAACTGTAGCTTTGCAATTCTTGTATAGAGGCGAATGGAAGTGATACGTGGATTGGCCTCGCCAGAAATTGAATTATTTTGTTGACTGTTGGATTGTGCGAAAAAGACCGGAAGCAGCGGCTATTCAGTGCCGTGTTTGCCTCTGCCTAGACGTTGCAGACACAGTCTTGTCTCAAAAGGCAAAATGGTCAGAGTTATGCTTGCTTTAGTTGACCAAAAAGGAATCGTGATGCATTATGCCTCATGCAATCATTACTACTCTCAAGCCTACTTAGTAGAACCGCATCATTGCGAATTCTGGACAGTAAGAGATGTATGAAATGTTTTTACCCAAATGTGTTTAAGGTGATGAAAGACTGGTAGAAGAATTTTACCACAATAAAAACAACTTTTAGAAAAGCAAGGTTATGTGAAATAGAATGGAAACGTCAGCTCTACTCATATCATTGTGGGAAAATTCTTCTTCTACCAGTCCTTC